TTTTTTTTTTAAGAGCAATTTATGATTTTTTTTTTGTTTTGCTCTGTAAATCTTTTTTTTCCCATAATTTTTGTGTGTTCTTGTTTCTTGGCATTTCATACACTGTTAGGTCTGTGCAGTTTATTGATGTTGTGAACAGCCAAAATTTAGTTAAACACCAAATGGATATTGAAAGTAGTATTGTGTGTGATGCACAGAAAAGTGTAAGCCTTGTTTTGGGTTTGGATTTATAAGCCTTAAAGTATTCTGCTCTAGTAGTGCCCCGTGAACATTCCTGCATGTCTTACTTAGGTAGGGCTTTGTCTACACAGTGGTGAAACTGTGAGCCCATCTTTTCTGGATGCCGCATGCTGACTCTCAGAGCGCTAGTGCCCTCCCGTGAGTGTACAGGAGTGTCCTTGTTGCTCTACCTCTGCAGTCACATGGGAATTGTCAGAATGTTTTCTGGCCATTATGGGACAGGTTCTTTCCCTGGTGACCAGAGGATCTCCTGTGTTATACTCTATTTTTTATTTTATTTATTTATTTGTGGCTGCTCAGCCTGCCCTGGGGGCAGGGCCAGCGTGCCATGTGGTGCTGGTGATCGAAGCACGTTTTCCCGTGCTTGCCCAAGCAGGCACTTTAGACAGCTGAGCTATCTTGCCAGCCCTCTCCTGTGTTGCTGGGCTGCTCACCTCCTCCTTACTGCCGGCTGGAGTTGCTCTATGTGAGTTTAACATGTGCTTTTTCTATAGGATGATGTGATGATGCCACAGAGAGTGAGGCTGCAACATCAGGCTGCTGAGCAGCACCCAACCAGCGTAAGTACCACACCCTCTGGGCCACAACCATCTTCCTGAAATGCAATTTGCTTCTTGAAGTGGATTTCCTTAGGGTAAAAGAATGTGTGTACAGGGAGGGATTTGGCGGGGCAGCTCTTTAAGCACTGAGAGGTCTTCCTTCAAGAAAAGCATGCTTTTCATTTTAGACAGGAGCTGTCACTTAAAAATGGATGTGGAAGGGTTGGCTGAGTAACAGCTGGGTTTTTTGTTTGTTTGTTTTTTTGGTGCAGGAAACTGAATTCAGGGCCTTGCACTTGCCAGGCAAGTGCTGTGCCACTAAGCTGCATCCCTGGCCCCAGCACCTAAGTCCTTGACGTGAAGGCATCTGAGGGCTGTGGTACACTCTCACTCAGAGCCAGCTCCTACCTCCTTGTTCAGAGCTGCACTCCTCCCACTCATCTTCAGGTCTTAGCATTGCCTGGTACCTCGATCTCCTGGAGGCCATTTCAGCCTTGGTCCTCACACCTTTTTTGTCCTAGGCCTCTTAAGTTTCAGATATTTAATGCTTCAATGTATCCTTTCCCATGCAGCTGCTGACCCAGGACAGGCTCTGGCCTCCTGGAAATTGTCAGGGGAGAGTGTTTGGGCTAAGTGGGATGTTTGTTTTTGGTATTGAACCAGGGCCCCCCACACTTTTTTAAATTTCTAAGGCAGAGTCTTGCTAAAGCATTAAGTTGCTTAAGCTGGCCTTGAACTTGGGATCATCCTACCTCAGGATCCCAGAGTGGGATCATAGGCCTGTGGCATTAGGCCTAGCTAGAGGCTGAACACCTTATTTCTTGATTTGGAATTACTTATACTGTTTAAGTTTAAATGTTATTAACACAAACACATCCTTAGAGGATGCTGTAGGAAGATAGGATCCTCTCCTTGGCTGTACCTGGAGGCCCTTCAGCCCTGCAGCTGTTTTGTGGATCTCCAGGTGGTGCCAGCCAAGGGGGTTGTGGCCAGCTCACTGCATGGCCTCTCAGGCCTCCTGCTTTGTCCTTCCCTTACCAACCCATACCAGGCCCTCAATGCTGCCTCTGATTCTGGCCCCTCCTTCAGCACACAGGTAGGTGCTTAGCTTTTCTGTGAGAGGCCTTGGTCACCTGAGCACAGGATTGTAGGATGGAAGTGTGGGCTGGCCCAGGTATAGCAGCCTGAAGTACGGTAGGCAGTGGTGTGTGCAGAGAGTGTGGAAGCAGACAGGAAGTACAGAGAATTACAGGTCAGGAGCATGGGGAATCTAAGCAGCTGTTCCTGTCATAGGTGTGGAGTTTGGAGGACAGATCCCAGGTTGGCTGGGGGACTTCAGCCGGGGCACCTTTCAGGGAGGGTAGAAAAATGCTACAGCTTTCAGAAGATTCTGGAAAGGCTCTTGTACCCAACAAGTTTAAGAACTGCAAGTATGTGTAAATACATGTATTCATAGCAGTCAGTGACCACAGGCTCCAGAAGTTGCTTTTTTTAAAGTTTATGGGCATGGAGTATATCATTTCTCCCCCCTTTTTGGTTGGGAAAGATGTTAGAAAATACCCCACAGTGTTGCAACAGCAGATGCCACTATGAGACCACTGGAACACATCTGTACCAGGCAATAGCATTCCCCACCCCTGGGGCTGGCCCACATCACATCACTGATGACTAAGGGATTTCTACCCCAGCTCCAGAGAGTTCTCAGTCTCATAAGAAGAGATGAGCATGCAGAACCTTTTTCTTTTCAGAATGGGGGTCTGGGCCATTTTTGGGAAGAGAAAAAAAAAGTGGAAACAAGTCCTATTGTATGGATTTCTGTCAGTTAATATGAGGGAAGACAGAATCAGGGATTTCCAAGAGCTTCTTGCTGTGGCTCTGATGGGTGTGGTAATATTGCATGGAGGTCAAAAGAAAGGAATAGCGTGATATCAAGAAATACACCTGCTTTCTGGGATTTAGATTGTTCTTACTGCCAGGAAATTTCCAGAAGCACACCTCCATGTTCTCGCCCATCCTGACAGCCACATTCACCTGCGGTCTATTGCCTGACCATTTGTGTAGCCCATGCTGATGGTTGTGTCAGCCAGAGAGTTAAAGGCTGCAGACCCTGGCCAGGCCCACCTTGTAACTCGGCCAGTGTCCTATCTGTACATAGATACAATGTCTTTCACCCACAGAGATTTTTTTTATGGCTGCAAATGGCAGCTTCTGAGTGTCTAAATGTATCATACTTGTGAATAATCTTGGCACAAATATTGATGTTAGAGAGTGATGCTTCCATTTCCATCCTGACATAGCAGATCAGCCCTTCTTGCAGTTATCTGTAGCATCTGTCCAGATGCACAGTGATGTTTAGAAAAGCACAAGGACTTGGAGCAAATGCAAATGGTCAGGGTGCCTTGATCATATTTCAGATAGCCCTGATGTCTGTCTTTAGAGATAAAGCCTAGCCTGTGACTTTTTTTGCTGACCTCATTAATCCTTTGGATGCTGCATCTGCTCTGCGTGGAGAACCTTGTAGCACATGACCTCCAAACTGCAGAGTAGGTGGAGCATCTTTGTTCTTTGTGCTCCTGGCCTTCAAAATGTCTTAATGGTATGACTGCACCAACACACTAGGCCAGCCTGGAAAAGTTGTTACTATGGTTCTGGTTTTAAATTGTGACCTGCAAAGCCCTAATATGCTGGTTGGTAGTTTGTCAGTTATGTTTGTACTTTGTTCGGGAAGAATGAAATGAATCCTGGCTTTCTGCTCATACTTGGTCATTATTCCTCAAGGCCATTTTCAAGAAAACCATTTAATAAGGGAAGAAAGACTCTTGATGGTAGCTTTTATAAATTGTAGAGATGTGTATAAATCACAGCAGAATCTTTAGGGTTTTAGATCTCAGTGTCATTATGCCATGCCATGTGTAACATTTATTCCCATGTATCACTCATTTCCTGAAAATACAGAGCAGAGGTCAGTTCTAGATGGGTAGGATGGAATTGGAGGAGTCTGTATTTGCTCTGTGGGGCCCTGAGGTAGCCAGAAAGACTTTCCCATTGGGTCCCCCAAGCAGAAGCATGGAGCAGGGGCTATGTGATGGGGTGTTCCACTTGGGGAATACAAAGGTCAGTTGGAGTGAAGACAAGGTGACAGCATCCCACAGATGTGGACCATACTGTGGGGAGGTACGGTGCTGCATCAGTCCTGTCCTGTGGCCTGTGGACAGATGGAGAATTGGGGGCTGGTGGTAAACCTCCACTAAATCCCCTCCCAAAGTGCAAGTGAGTGGCCTATTGTCAGGGGACTGGGGCCAGTACCAGTAACAGGAATAGGCAGGAGCCACTGGCCCTGAAGCACAGGTGAGAAGGTGGATGAACTTCTTTCATGAATCACACTCAGCTCGATTTCACAGTGAGGAAGGATGAAGTTTCTGAAATGCAGAGCCATCTTTTCTCTGTCCTTTCTATCCTTAGTCTCTTAGAATCTTCACCCAGCCTTTGAGGAAGGCCCCACCACTGGCTGGGTACTGTATTCCCTCCACCTCCACCTGCCCTACAAGGAGGGTCTCCATCTATGTAAGATAGTTTGTTTCAAACCAGCGGCCTGACCTGAGCTAATGTTAATGCTAGAGGCAGGGGAGCTTGAGCTCCTCTACTATGAGGAGGCCTTCCTGCAGTTCAAATCCTCTGCTAGTGTCTGAGGAGATCCTGGTATCTACATGGGGATTAGCTCTGCTTAGGTCTCTAAAGGCCTGAGGGGCCCTCCTACTGGTCTTAGAGATGCTGAACTTTGCAGGGACCACAGGCAGTTTATCTAGATTATGGGGTGTCGGCATCCAGGGTTGGACAGAGGCAAATAGCTGGGGGAGGGATATTGAGAGGGCTGTTTTTGAGGCCAGGGGGATCAGGACTAGGATTGAGAGTGGAAGGTGATAGGAAGCCTGGGAGCATGTGTGGTGCCACGTCAGGTGTCGCTGGAGACAAGGAGTGACAGGGCCAAGATGTGTGCTGAGATGGGGCTGTTTTCTGGGAATGTGGTCCTGCAGTCTAGGCATCCATGTAGATGTAGATGGTGCCTCCTGAGTTGAACCCTTTATGGACTTAGGCACATTCTTCTCCTTCACTTGGGGCTTTGCCCACTTCAGCTCAGAGCCCAGAGACTTTAGTTAGGCTCTGTCTGGATACATGTGCTCCACACGGCCTCAGACACACATAGGGGTGCCACACCTCTTGCAAAGGTACCTAAGCTCTGTCTATTGTTTTCACAGATCATAGGGTGCCAAGTGAGAAGGGATCCCCCGGACTCCACTGCACGATACACACGTTGGATCAACCAGCTGGTGCCAGACCAGCTCCTGACACAGGTGATGGCTGTGTGTCCTTGATGCAGGTGGCTGGCTCTATGGGTGACAGCCATCGCTGTTTGTCCTCATTGCAATGGTTGTGTGGGTGGCAGCTGTGGCTGCTGGTCCATGATGTGGGTAGTTTTAACAGGTGATGGCCCCCAGGTGTTTGTTCTTGATGCAGGTGGCCATGGGTGAGTTGGTTGCTGTTCATCTTTATTAGAGAAACTGCTTATTAGTGCCTGGGCTATATCTTGCCCCAGGCCTGAGTATGTGCTGGTGGACACTGTCTGTGCCTTCTCTGTGTCCACATGTCGGTGACTACACAGTATGTCTGGCCCCATAGAGATTTGTGGTTTAGGTGATGCCTGTTCCCTCCTAGGATGCCAGCGAGCTTGGACTCCAAAGACTTTTCAGTTTCTGCAGTGTGCCCTTGACATGTTTGTGAAGCCAGGCTGGCCATGCACAGCATTGACAGCAGGGTGGCTTCAGAGTGGACATAGAGTAAACATGGAAGAGAGCAGAGAATAGACATGGCAACAGGTACAGGATGGATGAGGCCACAGGCAGAAAGTGGATGTGGCAGTGGACATGCCAGCTTAAGACTACACATAGGGACAGCCAGCACCACTGTTTCAGATCTGCTAGTGTCTGAAGGCTTAGTGTCCCTGTGGGGTGTCTGGCCTCCCCAGTAGAAAACTATTGTTTCCTTGTGAGAGGACAGCTCTTCCCGTACAGATTGTAGCGCAGTGCAACTCTTCCTGCCATGGCTGTGTGCTGTGGTATGGTGCTGCACTCCTGGCAGAGCATGCTCATGGCTGTGGGTAGTCTGAGCCAGCAGTGAGGATGTTCTTGGGAGGCCAAAAAGCCAGTGACTCAGTGTGGGCTTAGAATTATGCCCTGGTAGTTAGATTTTATGTGTACAGAATTTTTTTGTTTTGTTTTGACATTTTTTAATGAAAAAGTGAATTTCCCTTTGTTAGTTAGCGTGACTATCATAGGGTGCCAAGTGAGGAGGGAACCCCTAGACTACTCATATCTCTGTTTGAATAATACAAAAAGTTACAAAGAAAAATGTGTGTAATGGATATGTAGCAGTAACTCACTGTGGCTTTACTTTTCACTTCCCTATTGATTAATAGGCTCTTATGGGTTATTTTACTACTCATATCTCTTTGATAAACTATTCAAATCTTTGTCTATTATTTTGTTGTTTATATTCTTTTGAATTTTTAACATTTATGTATTGTGGATACAGATCCTTATCAGATATGGACTTTAAAAATATTTTTCTGCATCTGTGTCTGATACCATTTTGCCGTTTTATTCAGAAAAGTTTTAATTTTTGATGAAATTCAACCTCTTCCATGGGTTGTGCTTTTGGGGTCAAATCTAAGAAATCTTCAGCTGAGCAAAGTGATAATGTTTTCTCCTGAAAATTGTATGTTTTAGGTTTTCCTTGCTTAGTTAATTTTGGCATATGGCCTGAGTTACCGCCTTACCCAACTCAAGTTGTCATAACAAAATCCATGTACCAAGTGGCTTAAACAAGAGCAGTTCATCTCAGTTCTGGAGGTCGGGAAGTCTAAGATCAGGGACTGGCAGCGCTTCCTTCCTGCCCAGCCCCTCTTCTGGACTTGCAGATGGCCACTTCGTCACCCAAGTCCTCACATGGCAGAGGAGAGTCAGAGGTTGAGCCCACCGTGGGCATTTCATCACCCTGCCTTCATCCAATCTGGTCAGCCACTTCAGATGCTGTCAAATCAGGGATTAGGCCTTATACAGAACAATTTGGAGGATACATTTTCAGGGTTTTGCCTGTGGATATCCAGTTGAGACAGACATTGATGAAAGACAGGCCTTTCTGTCTTTAGTACCCATAGCTATGTTGGTTTATCAAGACTGTCCTTTCTCCTGTTGATCTGTTCACATTTGTAAACTTTATTACTCTTTTTTAATTGTAATTCCTGTAATTGGTTAATACTACAATTAGTAGTAATTTGGAGTTGTCCAAACTTGTTCTTTGTTCCTTGCTTTTCCATATTATGTGAAATCAGCTTATCATTTTCTACAAAAAAAATAAAAGGTATGGTGCACCTGACTGGGGAGTTCATGTTGGGCCCGGGGGAAGCAGGTAAGGGAGTCCAGCAGGAGACACAGCAAGCTCAGAAGGGGTGGTTACTCTGTCTTATAGAATGTGGATGCTGCCACAGAACTGTCATTTTCAGCACTGTGGGGCGAAAAGCAGTGCTTTCCCCCTTGGGTACAGAAACCAGTTATTTCTGATTGCTGCTCTCAAACACATAATGTGTAGATCATCACAGCAGCAGAGGGCTGAGCATAGCATCTCACTGCATGTCCTTTTCCAGCCCATGGCTAGCAGCTTCGTTGCATCTTTTTCAGCACCAGAGAAGATTGTGGTGAATATGCACCACTGCCTGTCACCAGGAGACCTTTCCCTCAATGGTGGTTCACTTTGGTGCAGGAGAACTGCGCACCAGGTGAGTGATGGCCTTACCGAGTTAGCAGCACCCTCTAGGCATATCCTGGATGATGTGTCTTTGACACTGTTGACCTTTGGGAAGGAATTCACAGAAGCATGGAAGCCAAACTGGAAGACCAGTTGGAAACACCAAATTGTGATGAAAATGGTGAGCTGCAGAAGAAGGTAGCGTTCATCTCCACTGAGGGTACCTCCAAGGCAACCAAGCTGAGTCACAACACACTGGCTACCATGAGAGTGTCCTGGTTGCACTGTGCAGGTCAGAAGCCACCAGGACACTGCATCCCTGCTCTTGAGCTTATGCGGCATCACCTGCCTGCTGGTGGGGTTCTTATCTCCTCCTGCCTACCCAGTGAAGCCTGCCCTTCCTGTGCCTCCCCAGACCAACCGGGTCACAGCAGCAGTCATTCAGAACAGCACTCTCTTCTGCCATCATGCCAGCATACATACAACATCACTGTGAAATATCAGAATTGGTTTGAAGTAAAGGAAGGAAAAATAAGATTAATTCAGATCTCTATTCAAAAAGTCTTCTGGCCATAAACAGAGCACAGCTGTGCCCGTATTTTCCTGTACACAAAAAATTACAGTGACTCAAAGACCTAAACTTAACATTAAAAACTATAACACTCTTAAAAGAAAACATAAACACTTTACAATGTTCCATGTGGAAATGATTTCTTGGCTATGATTTTTGCCAAAAGCATAGGAAACAAAAGAAAAAAAAATAGATAAATTAGAATATATCAACATTTAAGAGTGCGCTGCCGCCGCTTTCCTCTCAGAGCACTACCCTGCAGGCCACCATGACGAACATCGCTGACACGAAGCTGTATGATATCCTGGGTATCTTGCCCTGTGCCAGTGAGAACAAGCTGAAGAAGGCATACAAGAAGTTAGCCAAGGAATATCATCCTGACAGGAATCCAAATGCTGGAGACAAATTTGAAGAAATAAGTTTTGCATAGGAAGTACTATCAAATCCAGAAAAGCACGAGTTATATGACAGATACGGAGAGCAAGGTCTTTGAGAAGGCAGTGGTGGAGGTGGTGGCATGAATGATATTTTCTCTCACATTTTTAGTGGAGGTTTATTCGGCTTCATGGGCAATCAGTAGAAGCCAAAATGGCAGAAGAGGAGAAAACATGATGCATCCACTCAGAGTATCCTTAGAAGATCTGTATAATGGCAAAAGCAAACTACAACTTAGCAAGAGTGTGCTCTGTAGTGCAAGCAGTGGTCAGAAGGAAAATCTGGAGCTCTCCAGAAGTGTAGTGCTTGTCAGGGTCCAGGTATACACATCATGATCAGGAAATTGGCTCTGGGAATGGTGCCGCAGATGCAGTCTGTGTGTTCTGATTGTAATGGAGAAGGAGAAGTAATTAGTGAAAAGGACCACTGGGAAAAATGTGAAGGGAAGAAGGTGATTAAAGAAGTGAAGATTCTTGAAGTTCATGTAGACAAAGGCATGAAACATGGACAGAGAATTACATTTACTGGGGAGGCAGACCCAAGCCCTAGGACTGGAACCAGGAGACATTGTTCTTTTGTTGCAGGAGAAAGAACATGAGATGTTCCAGACAGATGAGAATGATTTGCACATGACATATAAGATAGGACTTGTTGAAGCTCTGTGTGGATTTCAGTTCACTTTCAAGCACTTTGCTACATGTCAGGTTGTGGTGATATCTTTACCCCCCTGGCAAAGTAATTGAACCAGGATGTGTTCATGTAGTCCAGGGTGCAGGAATGCCACAGTATCATACTCTGAAAAAGGTGATCTTTGCATAAAGTTTGATTTGTAGTTCCCAGAAAACAACTGGATCAACCTTGATAAACTTTCTGAACTATAAGATCTTCTTCCATCTAGACCAGAAGTTCCTAACATAATTGGAGAAACTAGGAGGTAGACTCCAGGAATTTGATAGTACCTGAGGCTCAGGAGGTGGTCAGGGGCGGGAAGCCTATAACGATAGCTTTGATGAAGAAAGCAGCAGCCATCATGGGCCTGGGGTGCAGCAGGCACATCAGTAAACTGAAGACAAATTGCACAGGTGGATTTTCTTTCCACATTTGCCTGATTTGTTCTCAGTGATCCAGCTGGAGTGTGATTGATCCAGATGAACTTATAGACATCTGTTGGTCTCTGTAACTTTTAAAATTGTTATAGTATCTTACAGAGTGTATAATTTAAACTAACCACAAACCTTTACTTCTTCATTTTGACTGTTCTGTAGCAGAATAAAGCACTTTAAACAAGACAGTTTCAGTCCTGGTATCTGTGCTTTTTATCAGTTTTGTGTTGACTGACTGACTGACTGACTGACTGACTGACTGACTGACTTTCTTTCTTTCTTTCTTTCGTGTGTGGTACTGGGGATTGAACTCAGGACCTTGTGCTTGCCAGGCAGACACTTATGCCACTGAGCTATCTCTCCAGCCTGATTTTATGTTTCCTATTTTAAATTCAAACCCCACATTGTATTCGTACAATTTGCCCTGAAGCTTTGTGTTTGG